GGGTACAGATGTTTAGGTTACATATACTGCCGTTGCCCCACCAGAGTCAGAGCTTCAAGTGTGCCCATCCCCCAGACGGTGCACACCACACCCGTTCTGTGTGCGTATACCCATCCCCTCCTCCCCCTCCCACCTGCCCGACACCCGATGAATGTTACCACTATATGTGCACTTAGGTGTTGATCAGTTAAAACCAATTTGATAGTGAGTACATGTGGTGCTTGTTTTTCCATTCTTGGGATACTTCAGAGCCTGCACTGGCTTGCAAGGGTACAACCACTAGTGATGATGGAACTCGGAAGCATGTCTTTGCCAGGACTTCTGGCAGGTTTTCTCGGTGCGATTCTGTTTTGCAACTGAATTTCTCAGTATCTTCCTCACCAGTATGCTTTCCACCTAAAAATAAGGACTGTATGTAGTGTATATTTGATAGAGTGATTGTGAGGATTAAACAAGATCCTGCATGTAAACTCCCTGACTTAGTGGCCAGTACATTTTAAATTTTAAAAAATGTTGGCTATCATCATCGTCATCATCATCATCATCGTCGTCGTCATCATCGTCATCTGAGCAGCTCAATGTTCCAGCATGACAGATGCATGCACTTACAACTCCACAGAAGAGACATCTCAGCAGTTTCCCCCTCTTGTGAGGATAGCTAAGGAGAGCAGAGGCCTTTGGGAATTACTGCCCCGAGGCCACAATGTCCCTAAGGAGGGCTATCTTTGTGCCCTCCAATACCCTCGATGACCCCCAAAGGCTTGGGTGGGAACCAGCCCAACCAGGAAAAGAAGCACCGGGACATAAATAAAGGCATCGGATTCAAAAGGCACAGTTCATCTTCATTCCATTGATTTTACCACTTATAGAACCCAAGCCAACCATTTAAAGTTATGGAATTTGTCCAAGTTCTGTTCCTTTGTCTCACCCACTTGGCCCTAATGAACGTCAAACACGAGTGTTGTAGGTGGCAGGGGTCCCTGGTGGGCCCGGGAGCTGCAGACACCTGAGCCCTTCTCCAGGCCCCAGCCAGGTGGGAGGTGCGGGTGGCTGCCCCGCCCCATGCCCAGCCTCAGGTCCCAGTCACACTGCTGTCTGCTTACTCACGCACGGTGAGGTAACCTCCCTGTCTTATTTGTTCTTGGATGTGTGAGCCATATAATCCTCTTCAGAAGTTGTAAAGCTGAGACTGCAGCCCATAACTGCACATAAAAAGAGGCCGCCATTTTCCCCTCCTTAAGCCTGGTAATGATTGCCGCCGTGAGCCAGTCATCATGGAAATGACTCAGCCCTTCTCTCCCGTGTTAATAAGATTTTACTGTCTTTGGTCCTGACTCAAACCAGCTTGGGGCAATGTAGGGATCATAGGAGCTGTACCTGAGTGTGTCACTGTGTAACTTTACTTACTTACCCAGACGCTATGCAAACAGGAGCCTTTCCAGCCCTTCTGCCTTCCTTCCAAATCTGCTGCAGACTTAGCCCAGTTCACACAACGGGCATCTGTTACTCTCTTCCTTTACCTGCCAGGAAGCTGAAGCCACTGTTCTCTTTTCTCTTTAAAGGCTAGTAAGCCTTTAAAGAGATGGTTAGTGGGCTGAACTCAAAATAAGACATCTGAGCTCTCTTTGTGACATCATCAACACTTAGTTTCTTCTTGGGGGTCCCAGTGTGAGAACTGATCCAAACCCAGGCGTTAAATGAAACTTCCAGTTAGAGTTCCTGTGGGACCCTCTGTGTCTTTTCTTAGTTGTAATTATCACTGTGGGGCACATCTGGGGATCCTGGCAGTTCAGAAGCCAGCAGGGCCCGTTCATTTATTTCACAGACATTATCAATCACCCACTCAGTGCCAGACAGCGCTAGGCACTGAGGACAGAGAGACACAGGCACAGTTCCTACAGAGGTAGTTAGGGGGCAGCGGCCCACACTGGTGGTCAGGAAAGATTCCTACAGGAAGGCACGCTTACATGACTCCTGCAGGCTGCACTGGAGCAGTCTAACTGGAAAAGGGCAAGGAAGGAAGCAGAGGAGCATTTCTAAAGAGAGAGGGAAGAGCACATGAAAAGCGTGCATGACAAAGCTGGCTGCCACAACCCCAACCAACCATCCATTCTCTCCTCCTTCCTGAGCACAGGGCCAGGTGGCACTTCCTAGCCTCCTTGCAGCTGGGCATGGCTGTGAGGCCGAGTCTGGCCGAGGATGGTAGGTGTGTAGAGGAGATGAGCAGTCCTGGCCTCTGAGATCCTCTCACGTGTTCTTCCCTGTGCTCCCCACTTCAGCTAACTGGGAGCAGATGGGAATCAGGTCACAAAGGGCCCTGTGCTGCCTGAAGGGAATCCATGTTATGGGGCAGGTAATAAGCACTGAACACAGCAAAGTGACCATGCTCAGTTTCTAAATAATGGACGTGGCAGGATATTATTGCCAAGGTTGAACTTTACCAGAGCTCAAGAAATCCCCTACCCTTCTGTTTTCCAAAATCCTCCAACCTTCTGTGTTCTAAGGCTAAACCTCAAGGGACCATCCTGCCCTCAAGTGTTTTCAAGTAAGACCCGCCTCTGTCTTTCCTGGAGATTCCAACAAGACTCCCCTTATTTTTACTTCCTTGCATAAAACTCCAGAGTCCCTTTCATTTTTTTAATACATTCCTCTATCATGAATATTCTCCCTGTTGCAACAGCCTGAATAAAATCATCTCCTTAATTGTCTGATGCATTTGGTCCTTCCCATGAGCAGTGAACTAGGACTCAGAAATCTAAGTGAAGCTCTGCTTCTCCTTGAGAGTAGACCTCCACCCTGCTTTATTTTTTGTCAACAAATTTTATTATATATGTTTGGAAAAACTCAAACTCTGCTTTTCCTCTGCTTTCATACCACAACAGTCAAGATAAAAGAATTCTGTGACCCTGAAATATGGGGGCGTTTCTCCCCACCAGCAAGCAAGCCATCAGGTCTGCAGCAGACACCAGCCGGGCCCAACTCATTTCCAACACTGTCTAACCTGAGGATGGCGCAGAGCCCGCGGGGTGAGGGCTCGGTCCTCAAGACTGCCCTGCCCACCCCCACTCAGGGGTCAGCGGCAGCCCCGGGCCTCCAGAACGTCTGACCTACCTGCTTCAGGATGGGGTTCTCACAACCCCGCTTTGGGTTCTATTCATTTGCTGGAATGGCTCACAGAACCCAGGGAAACACATTTGCTGGTCTATTATATGGGAGAGTTTAAAGGGTACAAATAACCAGCCAGATGGAGAGATATAGAGGGTGAGGTCTGGAAGGATCCCAAGCACAGGAGCGTCTGTCTCCATGGAGTTGGGGTGCACACCCTTCTGGCACATGGACGAATGCTTGTTCACCTTCTCAGCTTCCAGAAGCCACCCCCCTCCCCGTCTGTCCTTTGGGCCTTTTATGAAGACATCATTGGTTGTCCCTCACTGAAGCACAGACGACTGTGTTGATATGTGATTGGACAAACAGGGAATGCTCTGTCTGTTGATATTCTCCCTGGTCTCTCTGTGTGGCCTGCCTTCCTCCAGCGCATGGGCAGGACCCTCTCTGGAACGAGGGGTCTTATGACCCACAATCAGGTTAGAGTCCTGGAGGGCAGCAGGGCAGGAGAAGTTCAGAAATTCAGTTTCCTGAGGCTGCTTCTGAGGCCAAAAATGCCCCAGCATGATAACAAAAGAATGTAACAAAGGCGGGCTAAGGGAGCCATGAGCCAGGAACTGTGGATGAAAACCAATATACTCATACAATCATAATACCACGATATATTAATGTATTTGTCATCAGTCTTCCATTAGAAACTCCCAGGGGAAAGGGCTTATCTTCTTTGCTACTGTTTCTCTAGTGCCTGGCACAGTTCCTGACGCATAGCAGGTGCTGAGAACTTAGACCAGTCATGACACAGCACTCACCCACCCACTCGAGCCTGCTCCCATGCTCCCTCGGCTCTTCCTCTCTGTGTCTCCCTTGTTTCTGCTCCCTCTTTCTCTGTGTACCGTTTTGTCTCCTGTGCTCTAAGCCCTCTCTGCCAGACTGCCTCTCTCCCCTTCCTCATTTTGGATCTCTGTCTCAATCCCTCCTTCTTGCCCTTCTTTGCTCTCCTCCTTGGGCTTTGGGTCTGGCAGTCCCCTCTTTTCCCTTCAGCTCCTACTCTTCAGCCAGGTTGTTTGTTTGGGAGGGTGCAGGCCCAGGGGAGAGGGCTCCAGCTATGGAGCAGGAGGGACCAAACCGAGTCTGTGTTTGGATCTGCTGAGTCAGAACAACTTTAGCGACTTCAGACACGTGTCTGGCCACAGGCTCCCTGAAAGGTAAAGATTCGCCCAGAATTGGCCAAGCCCGCATTTCTGTAACAACTCACAGGGGTCCATAAGCCTTGCTCCAAGCAGACTGCTGAGTGCTGGGAGGAACAAAGGACCCAGATGAGGCCCCTGCCTTCCAGGAGCTTCTAGTCTAGTGAGCCAAGGAGGTGAGGCCCACAGACGGCCTCACAGGAAGCTGCCAGGGAACACAGGCAGGCAGAGCGCAGGGGTGGGCCGTGCAGGCCATGCAGGCCGTGGGTTCTGAAAGGGATCAGCCTCCTTAATGCTGGAACTTTCTGGTGTGTGGTCTGTCTGTGAATGTCAAAGCGGAGCTAAGGGAATCAACTGCAGGTGGGAGAACAAGAAGAGAGAGGCAGTGGCAGTGTCCCTCGGGCCACTGTGGCCCGTGCTTGCACTTCAAGGCCCTGCACCCTCGCCCTCCCCAGCCCCAGACCAAGAGGCAGTCAAGGAGCGGAGATGTCCTCCGGGCACACGGTCGGTGGGTCAGAGCTGACAGCTGGGGGCAGACAGGGCTGTATAAAGGTGCGGCTTCCTGCAGATGCAGGGCAGCGGGCCTGCAAACCAACCCTCCTTCCTGCGTCTTAGTAACGACCAGCTGAATTGACTTAGATAAAGGAAATTGTCTGAAAATCTTGATTAATAAAACCTGCAGAGTGACTGGTGCCTTTTCCTCTGCAGGCTGGGCAGTGGCCCCGTTAGAGGATGCTCTGAGGGCAGAGTACAGCCCCGGGCAGAAAGAAGAGGATGGTTGACTTGTGCTGCTTGTGGAGACTCCGGGCGGGTGGTGATCCATCCAGCACGAAGCCTATTCATGCTGATGCCAAGCCAAGCGGTACTTGGGATTCCTTTTGCGACTGCTTTCATACATAGCGTGCGCCCGCATCTTCCTGGGAAATGCGGGGAGAACGGTGCGGCCCCTCACGGTGTGTCTTTTTAGACTCTGGGGTGGCGGAGAAGGGAAAGAATATTTTCCTGATACTTTATAAATGTGGGGTGGGGGGAGATGGGGAGTGGCGGTAATGACTAAAGTGAGTAGATGTGTCCCCCCAGAGGATGATTCTTAGAGTAAAACATGATTCGAGGGAGGAGGAAGACATTGGCATAGATGGGTGTATGGGTGTCGGGGCTGGGGGTACCTCCCTGGTTCCTTCACAAGGACAGCTCTCATTTTGCAGTCATGTTGCCTCCGGGCCTTTCTCCCCAGCAACTTTGCACAAAAAACCCACTGAAAGTCCCCCGGAAGAAGGCTGGTTCATTTGGCCACGCCTCCCTTATCGCTGGGGCCTCCTCCTCAAATTCCACTCCCGGTGCTGACTCATGGGTTGTCTTAAAAGCTGCAGTTTTTGCACCCCGGGAAGATAATTTTACAACAGCAGGTCGGCTCTCTGAGTCCGGCCCGTGTGCTGTTTGAGTTGGTGTGTCTATAAGAGCTGTACCAACATCGGAAGCCAAAGTTTATGGCTCGGGTTAATGGATATTTAGGGCAAAGTCCCCAGTTCCGTTTTTGGATCCCCTCTCCCACAAGTTAGGACGTTTAGAAAATGTTTAAATGGCAATGCAGAAAAGATTAACTTGATTTATTTGTCTCTCTATAAAAAATTAGCATTTTTTTTTTATTTTTTTTATTTTTTTTTGACCAGCTGGTGGGAGTCTGAAAAAATTAGCATTTTTTAGGTTCCACATTTCAGTATTAATATGCATTAAGTTATTTCAATAGTAATAGAACAATCCTAGAGGCAGAGTGAGAAGGGGCTACTCTTTCTCATATTTCTTGACCATCGGTCTGCACTGTGCCAGGCATCATGGGGTCCGACCCCTCACAGACATGGGGCGTCGAGAAGGTGTGAGTTGCCCTCACTGTGCAGCTGAAGCAGGCGGGGCTCAGACAGGCTGCCCGCGCGTGCGGACGGCTGACACGATGCAGCCAGGACCGGAAGCCACATGTGCATGACTTCAAAGCCAAGGTCTTTCCCACCCCACCAGACTCTCCACAGAGCCCAGGGTGCCCCTCCCTGCCACTGGAGTCGCTTAACAGTAAGAACACTTTTAGAGCTAGTTGCATTATGGCTCCCAAACTTCTTGAATCCATGCCATTGAATTCTCACCTCAGTGCTGTAGGGTATCGTTGTTAGGTATTGTGGTGGACACCTGTTGTTTTTGCCTGCCCAGCACCCACTTCTGTGTCTTATGGCACCAGCGCCTTGGCTGTATCTTTGGGGATCATTCTTCCTCCATTCTTCCTCAGTCCATGTGGTTTGCCTGGGGATGACCCCACTGGCTGGCTCTATGGGTCTAGACATAGGGGTCCTCAAACTTTTTAAACAGGGGGCTGGTTCACTGTCCCTCAGACCGTTGGAGGGCCATTGGAGAGTGCGGTGCACATTCCGCACATGAGCACTGTGGGCCTGGGACGAGTCGGCTACTAAGCAGGACAGGCAGCGGCGGCAAAAACAACCACGAGCCAGATAAATCTCCTGGGGCCACATGTGGCCCTCGGGCCGTAGTTTGAGGACACCTGGTAGAGTCTAGCTCCTAACATGGCCAATGCAAGCACCTGATCTCTGTGCTGGGTTTGGGAGTCAGCATCTGGCCAAGCTGGCCAATCAGGGCCAATGAGCATCAACTCCTGACCTTGGCAGGAATCCTAGGAACTCAGAGTGTCAATGAAAAAGAATCCAAACTCTGTAAAACAATTTAAAGAGGTTTCTTCTGAGCCAAGTATGTGTGACCATGGCCTGGAGCCATGCCCAAGAAGCCTTGAGCAAGAGGTTACAGTTTGGTTTTATACATTTCAGGGAGACAGGAATTACATGTAAAGTCATAAATCAATACTGTGGAAGGTATATATGGATTTGGCCCCAAAAAGTGGAACATCTTGAAGCAGGAGGTTGCAGGTTATAAGTGGGTTTAAAGATCTTTAATTTGTAACTGGTTAAAGAAATGAAACTTTGTCTAAAGGCTTGGAATGGAATGTTTTAAGATAAGGAAGTCTGTTAATCAGAGACAAGGCACTGGACGTATATACCCAGACTCAGGTGATCTGTTGAGTAAAATGAGGACCTGCAGGTGTGGTCCAAGCCCTGCCCTGTATATCCCTAAGCCTGTCGATGGGTTACGAAGGACATCTCCGAGAAGGGAGGTGGGCATGTTGAGGCTTGTCTGACCTCCCTTCTCATGGCCAGCAACTCAGCTTTAGGGTATTTCTGGGGTCCCGGCTGGGGGGTGTAAGATTTTATTATAGTTCACAGGGGCTTTCCTTCTGGTAATGCTGCAAAGCTGGTAGGAAGTGCTGGTGGTTGTGTTTGCTTAACTTGGGGAGAGCCGGGCTGAGAATGGAGCGAATCCAGATGAAAATCAAGTGAAAAAGAGGCAGGAGACAGGTCCCTGCAGACGTTGTCTGGCACCCAAATCCAGCAGTGCTCAAAGTCCAGGCTCCCCTGGACTTTTCAGTTCATTAAGCTAAGCAGTTTGCCTTTGTTTAACTCAACTAGTTTGAGTTGGATTTCTGTCACTTTGCTTTGTATTATATTATTCAAGTTATTGCTCTCCACCATCCAAGGAAATTTGAGATCATTGTTGAATCACTGTCAACCTTATTGACCATTTATTAATTGTGGATTCTGGAGATATAAGAAGCATCTAGTCCCAGAGATGTTTCTTATTTTGCTGTAGGGTAGTGGATGGGGTTGCTGATAATAACAGCACAAGGCATTATGCAATGAAGTCACCCTGAAATACACTCACTTTCCCTTCTCCTTGGTTTCTCTCTCATTGGAAAACTGCACAAGGGAGCAGAGGAAAGGACAGAACTGGGGAAGGGGAAGGGAGAGGTCGTGTTTGGGGACGTTGGAAGGAAGGGAGGCAGGACCTCCATGTGAAATGCATGTTAGGCAATATTAAATGTGACACCAGGCATTTGGTGAGAGGTCAGAAATGAAAGCGCAGTTTCAGGCAACATACATAGAGGTAAGAGGTGAAAGGTGAAGTTTCAGGAAACTATGTGTGGAAAGGAATGCAGAGGGCTAGAACTGAGTGGTGGAGCAGACTTTTAGGATGGGAGAGGAGGAGTTGGCAGAGAAGTTTACATAGCACTTGTCCTACTTAGCACCAGTGTCTTCCGAGGGAAAACTCACAACCTAAAAATTTGGAACACAGTAGGGTGTCTGTTTGGGTGGAAAGGCTACTAGGTACTCATGGCACAGGTGGAGAAAGATTTCTCACGCAGAAATTAAGATATATCAAAGTAAAAAAGAGTTTATTTTTTCCTTTTAGAGGAGGTAGTGGGGACAAAAAGGGAGAAAGAGAAAGTGAGGAGGGAAAAGGGTTGGGGAAGAGAGCAGGGAGATGACGTGGCATCCCAAAGAAAGAGAAGGTGGTGCCAGCCAGCAGTGAGGAGGCCAAATGGCTCACTTGGGGGATGAAGAGAAAAAATAATAGTGACGGCAGTCAGTTGGTAACAAAAGTGGCAGCAGGTAGATAACAAAAACTGCAAGGATGTCAAAGTCTAAGAGTTGATTTACTACCTTTCCCTGGAGAAGGGTTTATCGCAGGAGATATGACTCTGTCCTCCAGATATGGTTGAGGGTGTAGCTCCGTCTCCTGCTGTTTACTCAGGAACTCTGTAAAAGCAGATTCTCAAAAAGCTATTTTGGAAGAGAGAGATTTACACCTCTTTTCCGTCTATTCAGCTTTCTTCAGAAGTTGTGCAAAACAGAACTCCTGCAGGGGACCTGCCAGTGGGAGAACTTGTAGGATTGATCTTTAACTGTTACTGGGGAATTGTGGGATTACCTATTTTCCTGTTATTTTTGCAAGGCCTCCCTTGGTCTTCAGCATATACATATTCATCAATGTTCAGAAAATGCAGATTCTTGTCAAAGTCATAAAATCCATTATTCTTCCATAAATCATCCATGTCTTTTTCCGGTTGAAGAAAATGTAAATGTTGAGAGCAAATTGCCTTTGGCAAGTTTGCCATGATAGTTTTTTTGGTTGTTTTTAAAGTGAAAGAGCTCAGGGAATTTCATCGCAAAATATGACTCCTTAGTATAAAAAGTATTTTGAATTAAAGGCTCTTAGAGCTCAACAGGAGTTAGAAGGGACTTTCTCTCTATCTGCCTAAAACCAGACAGACTCATCAGAAAGAATAATTGTCGTTTCTTCTCTTCTTGGTTATCTTAATATACTGCAGGAAAGAAGATGAAGAAAGCTACCAGACCTGGCCTGACCTACTTTAAAGATAATACCTGTCTCTCAGGTTAATTTAATTTCCAAAGAGTATTATTTACAGGGCAATCTATTTTCCCCATCCATTCATTCTCCCAAGTATCTATTCATCCTCACTAGTAACCATCTATTGCCCCTAAACAGAGTTACCTATATTCCTCATGTTCCTCTCACCTTGAAAATGAGGATATATAAACTTCTGGACCCCACTGGGATTTTGGGTAATTACTCCCCATGCACACAATAAATAAATTTTTAATATCTTTTATTAGTCTGCCTTATTATGAGTTTATCTTTCAGTGAAACTTCCAGGGGAGAAGGGTGTTGGGAACTGAGGCCTTTAAAGTTCTTAACCCAGAAATACCCTGAGCAGAAAATACCCTGAGTTGCCAAAAAGTGCTTAATGACCGTTCCAGAAAAAAACTGCAAGATATTCCAGGCTTGCTGCCTAAGACTGTTTATAATTGATCAGCCCTAACCCCCCCCCCCTACTTCATTGTTTCTGTATGCTTATAAAACCAACAAAAGATCTAAATAAAACAGACCTTGACAACCCTTTGCTTGGTCTCGTTCCTTTCTCTCGCCCATCTCTTTCAGGCAAGGTCCCCCTTAGCCCCGCGAGTAACAAAAGGTCCCAAGGGCCGAGACAAGTGGCGCCCAACGTGGGGCCCGAGGTATACAGACCTTTGTCGAGTGACGCCGTGGTGCGCTCTTCGGCTGAAGAAAACCCTACAGAGACCCTCGTTCTGCCGCTCACAGAGTCGACGTCTGGTGATAAATTTTACATTGTCACCCATCGAGATGGGCCATTCATTGTCTAAAGAGGCCAGTTTTATCAAAAATCTCAAGGCCTCACTCAGAGGAATTAGAGTTAAGAAAAAGGATCTAGTAAAGTTTTTTGTGTTCATTGATCGTGCTTGTCCTTGGTTTATTGTTGGTGGACCTGAGATTCACCCATGCAAATGGCAGAGATTTAAACAATTTACTTCAGTGAAACTTCCAGGGGAGAAGAGGAAGTTTTCTTTCTCTCCCACAAAAGCAATTTCCGAATGTCTGAGAATTAAATACTTTTCATGTTTAATTTTGCATATGCTAAATTTGGATTCAAAATAATACAAAATGCCCTGCCAAATGATAAGACTTAAACATTATTTTAGAGCAGAACCTTGTCAACCTTTTGGGTACATCTGGGATGTTTTGATTATTCTGAGAAGTCTGCAATCTTATGCACATCATATGAGAAGATTGCACACTGATATGGAACTGCTAATGGAAACTTGTATGTAAGAATTTTGTTTTTTCTGGTGTCGTGGAGCAAACCCTTATTTATCTAGAATGAGAGAAAAGAAAGGGACAGGGGGACACATTACATTTCTAAGTTAAATACAAATGCCTTGGATCATTGGAACAGACTGAAAGCTGTGTTATTGAGTCCCTTTGGTTCTCAGAGCGCTTCGTGACTTTTCATTAGGCAGCACCCTGCTGTCCATGTCCCAGGCTCCCACACACATTTGTTGAGGACTATTCAGATGATGTCATCAGTGCTTTTTTAGCAAAGTCCCCTGAAGACAAAGCTCGGATTGGCTGTGCAAATCTCCAGACCTGGTCCAGAATCAAGCCCCACTTTGAGGGCAGGGATCCACTCGGGGGTTCTGCTGACATTGAGATGGAATGGTTCTTCTGTTATACTTAACCTCTGGCCCCTCCTGGGGACAGGGCAGGTGACCTGAGTGACTACCACACCTAGGGGAAGATGGAACACCCTACCAATCTACAAATCAGAACTTACCATGCCAGCTGTAAAAGACTGCAGAGGACTCTCTAGCCCATGGGCCAAGCAGCATAGGTACAATAGAGTCTGGAAGGTGACCTAGAACACCTTAAGTCTAATTATCCTGTCATTAGCTTAAATCTACATTGTAGTTCACCCCCACCCAAAAATCAGCTTTCAGAGAGGCTCCTAGGAGATCTAAGACTGAGGTCATATAACCCCCAACTGTCCACCAAAGTGGTTCCATGTGGACATCTGAACCACGAGGAAGGCCCAATCCAGACACTATAAAACCAGACCCAGACCATAACCAAGGCCTTTTTTTGTTACAAAAAGAGGCCCCTTCTCCATTCTGTGGCAAATGTATTTTGCTGTTACTCTGCAGACCTATATCTTGCTCTTGTTCTGTAATCCTATCTTTCTTTGATAAACCTCATTTAATACTTATCTTTCTTTCAGTGTGTCTGGTCACAGACACACTGGTCTCTTTGACCAAGAGCACACCAAGTATTGACATTTCAGACTGTTGACCTGACACTTCCAGTGCAGAAGTGTCCTATCACTGCAGGATGTTTAATATCCCTTCCCCCTCTACTAGATGTTTGCAATACTCCCCAGAAATAACAGATACCTTGGGACATTGTTCATGACCACCATCTGTTACCAAAAACTTGGTACTTGTCCACAAGGACGAATCAGAATGAGGACAAGTGTTTAGGGGATGAGGAAAGAGATTTTACTTTGCCAGCAAAGGATGAAAAATGGTAGACCTTCTTGTCTCAAAATCCAAATTTCCTGAACATAGGCAGAAATACAGAGCTTTTAAAGGGAGGGCCCCTCAGTTCTAGGCTGTTGTGGTTAACTGTTCTAATCTTCTCATCTCTGCCAAAGACAAAGCCTGTGAACTCCACTAGCCACCTGCATGGGGGTTGGTGCCACCTGGGATAAGAACAAAAGGCCTTCTCCCTGTTCCTCCCTACCACTGGCCCAAGGCAGGGATGCAGGTCAGGCTGCTGTTCCCAAAAAGAGTGGGGGAAGTTTTAAAGAGACAGAACATCATCTTTATCTTAATAATCTTCTTCTTTCTTCTGCTTTCTTTTTCTTCTCCTTCCCCTTCTTCTTCCCTTCTTCTTTCTTTCCCTTTTCTTCTTCATTCTTCTTCCCCTGTTACATATCCACCCTAGACTTTACATGCAAGTGTTACAGATCTGATGCTTTAGAGTTAAGATTCTGAGTTATTCTTGGGAAGGAAAAGTTCCAGAAATTCAGAAATTTAGGGAGTGGTGTGGAGCCCAAGAGACACACAGAGCAGCATCTCTCCCCTAGAGCAACCCAAACCTTTCTTCTGGGTTTGGGTGAAAGACGATCCCTCAGCTTATGCAGCCAGCTTTGCACTTGCTCTTGCATCTGGGAGCTCACAGGGAAGCTCTGGGTGCCTTCCCTGCCAGACTTCCACACTCTGCAGCACCTCCACCCTAGCCCTGCCCGCTCCCAGCTGTGTCCTTTTACTTCCTGTTGTCTGGGGCCCTCCACACATGTGAACGTTCACCGCCGGGCTCTAGTGTTTTTGAGGGAAAGCATTTTAAGGAATTTTTAGACAGGGCTTCAGTGGGGGGAGACCTGGGAATTTCCAGTATAGTTCTGCTATCCTAAGGGTATTAAACTGTAGTCCCCCAAATATTTACAAGGTCACATTGTCCCTTCCCTTGTTTATGAAAAGGATAAAACCACCCAGCCGATGGCTGACCATTCCATTTTCAAGTATACCTAGATCAGAAAGCCAATCTGGGCAGCTGCTTCAAGGCAGCTTGTAATTGTTTTCATGGAAGCAATAATTTATCTAGAATGGAGCAGCTACTCAGCCCTCAGGAATACAAATAGTTGGACCACCAAACAAACAAACAAACAAACAAACAAAAACCAACTATAGGGGCCAAGGAGGGGAACCCTTAGCCTCTGAAGTTTTGCTGAAAAATCAGCTCACAAAAGGAAGATTAATTGGAGAAAAGCCATACAAATTTATTTAATGTGTACACATAGGAGCCATCAGAATGAAGACCCAAAGATACAGGGGAAATTGTTTATGTTTAGATTTAACAAAGTATAGATAGTTGTATAGAGATATGATTGGAAAAAAGGTATGATCTAATGCTAATATACTGAGTAGAGAAACTCAGCAAAGCCTGTCTGTCTAGATTCTTTTTGGCGTCCCTGAGCTCGCATTCCTTCCTTCTGGGTGTGGGGCAGGGCTCTTTCTGGAATAGGGGTCTAGTGGCCTACAGTCAAACAAGGTAGGGCAGATCATTTCTTTATGTAGTTTTTACAAAGAATATTATTAGGTTTTTTGGCTGGCTTTTGGAGAAATGGGTTTTGGTTTCTATGACTGGCCTTGGGGAAGAGGGATTCTGGTTTCTATGGCTGGCCTTGGGGAGAATGGGCCTGAGAGGCAGGAGGGCAAGAGAAGATCAGAGAAAAACTTTTGCTTCTGAGGCTGCTTTTGAGGCCTTCATCTTGGGGTATTGTTTTCTGAGCCCCAATAAAATGGAGAGGTGAGGCCAAAGAATTAAAAGCTTTTACAATTACAAATTCATTAACCACCTCTCCCCCCCTCAATAATGTTATGGTCTCAGAGAAAAATGGGAGTTTAGGAAAAAAGTAAAAGATTGTGGTGACAAATATGGCATTAATTAATTGAATGGCTTTAAGAAGTAAGAATTTGAAAGCATTTGAATTAGGATCCTAGAATTCATAGCTGGTCTCCTTGCCCACCAGGAAGGCATGTTAATCTGGATTCTTTAGAGATCAAAGAGATTTCTTAAATTCCTTTGGGGGCAGTAAAGTGGCCTTAGCCTCCATCAGCCCCATTTATGGGTAGAGCCTCCAAAGCCCCCAGATTGAACTGCCAATAACAATGTGCCTGTCATTCTGCCCCTGCCTTCTGGACCTGCACAAAGAAATCAGGGTTTGCCTCTTCAAAGAGCAGGAGGGGAGCAGCTCCTGCGGCAGTACAGTTCACAGTAAACGCTCGGAGAAATGTATGAGTGCTGCACTTCATTATAACTTAAAAAAATCCATGAGACTTGTTTTTCCTGTTAGAAAACCCTGTGGAACAGTGTGTCTAAGGATTCTGGAGAATCAATGACAGACATATGAGTGGCTTCTTAGGGACACAGGAGGAGATGTGATTCACGCAGGCCGTGTGTCAGGGAGGTGATGGGTGCTCGGACAGAAAGCTGTAGCTCGCTGAAGCCCCTCCTTGCATGAAGCACTGCTCGCACTAGCCCCTGCTGGGAATGGTGAGAATGGTATGTCATATAACAATAGCAGTGACCGTTCATCTAATACCTGCGTTGCTAGGCACCATGATAGGAGTTTAACATACAATACCTATTTCTTTTTTTTTTTTTTTGAGACAGAGTCTCTCTTTGTTGCCCAGGCTAGAGTGAGTGCTGTGGTGTCAGCCTAGCTCACAGCAACCTCAAACTCCTGGGCTCAAGCAATCCTTCTGCCTCAGCCTCCCAAGTAGCTGGGACTACAGGCATGTGCCACCATGCCTGGCTAATTTTTTTCTATATATATTAGCTGGCCAATTAATTTCTTTCTATTTATAGTAGAGATGGGGGTCTTGCTCTTGCTCAGGCTGGTTTCGAACTCCTGACCTCAAGCAATCTGGCTGCCTCGGCCTCCCAGAGTGCTAGGATACAATATCTATTTCTTAACAACAATCCACTCCTAGAAACAATTCAATAAGCTTTACATATATTTCCTCTAATTCTTATAACAAGAGGTTTTACTATCCGTGCCTCATGGGCAAGGGAATAGGCTTAGCGAGGTGGTAGGGTACGTATCCAGGGCCGCACACCCAGTGTCACCTCGCAGACAGGGCTGGCGTTTGCACCTGGCCTTCCTGAGGGTGAGCGTCTTGATGTGCATGTGTTTTGTGCCCCTCACAACACAGCCTCGGCCTGTCGTTCTGCAGAAGGCCCTCAGCAAATGCTAACCCATCATGTATTTCAAATTCATATTTGTCGCCTACACCCAGGGGTGGTACTCTGGCGTGTGTCTGTGCGTGTGTCTGGGGGTGGCATAAATGGGATCTGGACGTGGTCTCTGGGCACTGGCACCCACAGGCCACGTGCCACCCATCTCTCACCTGACTCTTCTGCATCTCAGAGGACACCCGGATTCATAACCAGAATTGACCTCACACACTGTCTGGACCAATCCCCTTTATTTTATAGATGTTCCTATCTATAAATCCATAGATATATGACTTCTTTAACCCTTTGCACTTGGATGTCGAGTGTGACTCCACACGGTTAGCAAAAAATATAGAGATTAAAATTACTCTTTGAATGTATCAATACTTTGAAATATAAAAAAATCCAAATAAATAAGTTTGTATGAAAAGAAACTCCAGTTTTTTATTCTACTGCCATGCTTCGTAAAATCTGGGGAATTTAAAAAATTAAATCCCGAGTAGAATAAAGGAATCGAGAAAAAAGCAAGCGAGTGCAAAGGGTTAAGTGAGGCTCAGAGAAGTTGAATCAACCAAGGTCACACAGCGAGGGCGCGGCAGGGCTGGGACATGAATGCAGGCCACCTCCTAAACTCTTGTCCCACGCTTTTCCACTATACAGCAGAAGGGCAGGGCATGAGGGGATGCAGGGGCAGCAAGGGCTGCTCCCTGCTTAGCCATCTGGTCGAGGGACAGTGAGGCAGATCACATGCTCGCCTGGCACGGGCCACCTCAGTGTCACCTAGCAGCAGCCCCAGGTGCTCCTACAGGGCAGGCAGGGAATAAGCCTGCCAGGACCATTTTGTCTGCTGGGAGTTCGGGCTTATCAGTGATTGACAGCGTGGACCCATGGGGGAAGGTTATCTTCTGGAAGTTTCATTCTGTGTGCTCTCTTAAAGACCCATTGTTATATTCATCCAAGCAAACTACAAATTTGTTGCAGATTTCTCTAGATTATATTTGACTTGTTTTGCTTGTTTCAGATCTTACCTGTTATCCCTGTCTCAGCATTCCAGAATGAACTACAGGTATGCAAAGCTTGGTTAATTTTTTAAAAACATGAATATATACAGTTGAAAATACTTTTAGTTTATGAAGTGACTTCTTCAAAATCTGTACCAAATTTCACAAATTCACTGCTTTTTGTTGCCCTGTGCAACAAAACTATCCCCTCCTTGTGTTGCTCTTTCCCTCAAACTACATCAACAGACTTTTAGGCGTACATGATACGAAAGGCCCTGTGGGAGATAACAGAGAGCTATGAAAACTAGTCACTATCATCAAGGGACTCACAATTTAGTAGTAGAAAAATAACAGTCGCTGCAGGTATTAGAGATTCCTGTGTGCCAGGCACTGTCTGGGCACTGTGCCTGGCTGTCTCACTCCTCCTGACATGCTTAGTGGGGTGGGACTAGCGAGTGGGAAACCGAGAGGCTCTGGGAGGTCTTGTGTCTCACCCAAGGTCAAGACTACTGTGAGTGGCAGAACTGGTCTGTGCACCCTGCTGTCTGACTCCATGGCTGCCTATTAATGTGCTACAGCCAGCAGGTGCCACCACTTAACGGTGGCTGCCATGTGTGTATTGGCTCCTCCCAAAGGGTGCAAACCCCTGGTGGGCTCCCAATATCTTGCATCTTTTGAGTTTCTAACAGCCCCAGCAGTGCTGTGCCCATGGTCCAGGCAGACTGTTTCTTAATTGATTGCATGAGAGAGGGGAGACATGTTATCTTGTGGTGCCCTAAGAATCCAGATAGCCCTTATAAGGAATAAATCCTCTCAACGGCTAGAATGAAGTCAAGCCCAAGAATGCTTCTCAAGGCAGGCCTTGGCAGGCCTTGGCGAGGACCTGATCACCCAAAGCTGCCAAGCAGCCATGGCTTAGGATTGTTACATCCCATTTCCTCGAGCAACTGTACCTGTTGTACTGGAGAGACAACGTTAAGTCCAGGGATCAGGAGCCTGGGGGTCCTTGCTGGAGAATATGCCGTAGAGTTGAGGGGAGACAAGCTTGGAGCTGGGCCTGCCCTCAAATGCTGAACGTGGAGCTCTGAGCTGTAAGAAGGCCTTGGTCTGGGCACCAGATAAAATGTATGTGTGTCTATATGTATGTTTCTATCCGGTCTTTCATTCATTTATTTAAATTTAAAATTTTGATGATGACATCATAGGTTCCACTCTACCTGTCTAGGGGCCCTCTTCTGGGCACCCCCTGCAGATATCCCCTGTGTAAAATTTACGTTTCTGAGGGTTGGGGCTGGGGAGAGGCAAGAGTCAAAACAGAGGGGCCGAGTCCCGTGGAGACTGGGTCCCTCCTGGAATACGTCACCTGTGACATTTAAAGCCATCAAAGTCATTTCCCAGCAAACCTTTAAGTCCCCAGGCAGAAGGGCCTGGAAAAAGTTCCGTCTCCCCTTCCTCCACCTCCCCTTTCACCTTGGTGTTTCCCTTTCCAGGAATAACAGGCGCTACCTGTGTGCGCTGGCCAGACGCAGCGCAGTGCAGCCAGAGAATCTGGAGCGGGCTCGCTCCCAGGCCACGCCACGCCCAGGTCTGCTCTCCCTCCCTCCCTCCGCACTTATCTGCCGAGGCCCAGCCCCCGCCAGGGAGGAGAGGTGGGCTCAGCTGGAGTGACTCATGCCAAGGAAGTGAAGAGCCCAGACACACCGGGTTTATCCATTCCTCCCAGGTCTCAGCCCGTGCTTACTAACCCAGCAGTGTCTACTGCTCTGAGGACTCACGGCAGTAGCTGGGAGTCTCTGGGGACCGGCCGTCTAAGATCTGTGGGTGACAAATATGACTTGATGATCTAGTCCTTATTTCCAGTGCCAACAACTTTTTTTCTTTAAGTCATTAAGGAATTTTTCAGTAGGATTAGATGAAACAGATTTCTCAAACTTGTTCCCAAGCTCAGATCCAACCAGGATTTTTCAACGTCCTCCTGGTTCCCTGCCACATGCAATAAACAAATGCGAGGGTCAAATATCATTACATCATGGGAGCAATGTCCAGGGTGAGCCTGGTAGAAACGGCATTTAAAGGAGCCATGGATGCCCTGGTCGCAGTTCTGGAGACAGGGTGATATTCAGGCCAGGCTTCTCTCGCCTGAATACTACCGCACCGCACAGTTCTTAAGCCAGGCGCCCTAAGTTGGCTCAGGAGCGCTGAACTGAAAGGTGGCTCCTCCAGTGTTGGAGCAAGCTGGGACGTGCAGTGCCTGACCCATTGGTCCTTGGAAGTCTCAGAGGGACAGAAAAGGTCCCTAACGATCATTCCCTCTTATCTTGCAGTCTTTGAAGCACCCCTTCCAACTGAGCGTCCCTGGAGTGAGCTCAGCTTAGTTGAGCATTTATTGAGAACCTACTAAGTGCCGTGCTCAGAGTATCACCTGTACGATTCTCATACCAATGTATGAGGGTTTCGCTGGTGGCGGGGACAGGTGCTGGGTGCGAATATCTTTTTGGCTCCTGCTTTTCATCCCCATATAAATGTTCTCTGAAATCAGGGCCCGATCTTGGACCTTCTGGAGGCTGCCTCACACTCTGAGTACCGGGGAGGGATTCGTAGTTCATGGCTATCTGGCAGGTGGAAGCTTCTGTGACCTGGAAACCAGTCTGTAGCTGCTCGGCTATAATGAGGCCGCTTTCTGGGAGCAGCAGCAAGCCGCCCTGCAAACCTCATGGGGCCAGGAAAACCCAGAAACTGCATCAGGGGTCTGGCTTGGCCCAAATCCATGTTGGAAGTTACTCTGCCCGACTTCTAGGTGTCAAGGAGTTTGTTAGTACTTAGGAACAGTTCATTAGCACTGGGAAAAAATCAGCGCAAACCCTGGCGGGCAGGGAGGGCGTGTGTGTGTCTAGATATTTTGGCATTTGGTCACTGCCCTCCTGTGTGGAGTCAGTGGTGCCCCTCACCACAGCCTAGGGCTGGCGGGTAAAGGGAACATTCTGGTTAAATAAAGCCCCCTTCATCCTCACACTAAGAGTGGAAGGAAGCCCTTGAAATGTCTTTGCAACTCTCTGCATTTTCAACTGCGCCACACCTGAATATTTTACTTAGGAGAGAGCAGAGGGAGGAAGGAGGGGTTGGTGCTGCCCTCGCCGGCAAAGCTGTGACGCTGTGGTTCGGCCACAGCACCCCGATCCGAGAGGGGACCCGAGGGGCCTGTCTGGGGTACGTCTCCACCGGCTCAGAGATGCGGAGCTGTTCTCCCAGCCCTGGCCTTCCGAGCCCGCAGTTCTGTGTCCTGTGTCTCAGGCAAACGTAGCCTCTTGGGTTGAGCAGAGAGCGGCAGATGGCCAGAAAGAAATAGTGATTCTCCAAAGATCTTGCCTAATAAGAGAGAAATCAACGCTGAGCACTAAGCTCTGTTATCAGATCGGGAAGCCAACACATCTCAGCCGTTGCTCCTGCTGGGGTTCGGGCCTCTTTGATGAGCTGGTCGGGCTGCCTACCGGGTTTATTTTTAAGGGGTGTAGGAGCTTCTGGGAGAGAACTCGTTCCAGGGGAAGTGCCAGGCACAGTGGCCAAGCTGGGAGCTGAACATTGGGTGTTGGCGGCAAGTGGTGGTTCTGACTTCACCCCAGTGTAGACACGTCATCTGGGTCACAGGAGAGAAAGGGGACTTCCAGTAATCCCAGTAAAGATATATATATATATATATGTTGTGTGTGTGTGTGTGTGTGTGTGTGTGTGTGTGAAATAAATTATTCTTTAAAACTCCCAGCTCTGTCCTGTCACTCACTGGCTGAGTGACTGTGGGCGAGTTTCCTATCCTCTTTCTGCTGGGATCCTCATCTGTGACATTAAATAATGATACCACAGTTCCCTCAGAGGGCTGCTGTGAGGTCATAGGAGGGTTTGCGAACTGCCAGGAACACTGGAAACGCCAAGTGCCTGCTACATAAACGAAAGCAAACCCTGCATGAGACTCAAGGGCTCAAGGAGCACTACTTGGGGACCCTTAGTGCCCACGATGGGAAACAAGCCTCCACTCCTCCACACCCCGCCAGGCTCCAGCACGTCAGAGAGCAGCACCCAGCACGGTGACTGCGGCACCCGGGCGTCTCCACAGGCGGGACCTTCTGGGACACAAGAGCACCTAGGACTGGATGGCACCAGGAGAAAGCCCCATATGGACAGGTGAGAGGCAGCTACCAGCCGACCATTGCTGTTAAGGTGGCTCGTCTACACCACCACGAGCCGGTGAGGCGGGAGGGCTGGGTCACAGGAGGGGTCCCCTACACTCCATGCAGAGTTAAAGTGAGATTTCCTGGCAGCTGGCAGCCTCGCAGAGAGTGTAAGGGTATGGCTTCTCCCCCCACCCACCTGTTATTTTGTTGTATTTCATGCCTGAGTCCCTTTGGGCTCATAGAGCAACTGCATGGACTCAGTGGGCTTTTGAACAACAGAAATTTGTTTCTCACAGTGGGGGCGCAGCAGTTCACGTTACATGTTTGTGCCGGCAGATCGAGTGGTCCCCGGCGGTCCGGA